AGTTCTTACGAATGTAGAATGTAGGTGAGTTCTTACGAATGTAGATTATATATAAATTATATATATATCAATATATATAAAATATATATTATATATATATATATATATATATATCAATATATATCATACCAAATTCTTACAGTTTGAAGTTGGCAATAAATTGCCAATCTCAAACTTTAAGAATTTACCATGAGGTTGGCAAAAAAAAAATTAACACAAAAGAGTTACCATAAAACATAGAAATGAGGTGGGCAATTTTTTGCTGATGCTAATTCCACTAATGCTGACCCTAATTCCGAGGGCTGATATAAAATTTCATAATAATACTTCATACTTATTTACCAATCCATGTATGAAACCATCAAAGTTGTAAAAAAAATAAAAATACTCTACAGGAAATGCCCCATTTTTAACCTTAAACATCAGACAGGTCCCTAATATAAGAAAAAAAATTTCTCTAAAAATATGTCATGTTGGTTCTCGAAAGTAGGGAAGTTTTATAAAAATTTCTAAAATAATTGTTTCGTATTTATATTATTAGTTTACATTTTACTGCATAAAATTTGTTGTTTTTCAACATAAATAAAAAATAACTTTTTTAATGGTTTTTTCAAGTCTATTTTTTTTTAGAGACGTTAATATAAAATATTATTTTTGCAATTTTATATAATTTAGGTTCTTTTGAGACCCAACAAGGCATACTTTTAAAGAACTTTTTTTTCTCTCTAATACTAGGGACCTGTCTGATGTTTAATGGTAAAAATGGGGGGGGGGGGAGGTTCTCCATGTTTAATATAAATATATATATATATTTTTTTTCATTTACAGATAGATGCAACAATATATACAGTATTAGAGCAAACTTTTATTTTCATTCCAGCCTAAAATATATATACATAAATTTATTTATTTATTAGGGTGCATCAAATAATTCCAATTTTAAAAAATTGCCTCATGAAATCTAAATTAAATCTATATAATGATTTAAAAACTTTTTGAACAAAATCATAATTGTTTTATAAAAAACAAACTTTATATATATATACAGCGACGTATCCAGGCCGATTTTAATACCGGTATACCGGTAAGGGCCCCCAAATTTCTGCCCAAACTTATAGTGGGTAAATACTGAGGACCTTTTTTTTTTTTTTTTTTTTTGCTGGTTTCTCTAGTTGGTAAACAAATACATAAAAAGTATTAAAACTTGTTGTCATAATTACAAAATTGTTTTTATGTCGTTTAGAAAAAGCAACATTTGCAAACGACTTAAAAACAGATTATTAAGTATTAGTATTTTAAGCCAATCAGAATGTCTAATTCGAATTCAAGCGGATGAAATAAGGATACGTTACTATTGGATTAAAATGTAAAATGTACGTTTTGATTGGATTAAAATAAGAAACGCATTTTATATTTTTATAATTTCTTTCATAAAAAAATTAACTTGAAAAAAATATACTTAAAATGAGTTTCTCGTCCGCTTGCATTTTGATAACTATAATTTACAATTCAATTAAACTCTATAACTATAATTTACAATTCAATTAAACTCTAAGCTTTAAACTTAATTATTTTAAATAATAGTAAAATTGCAGTGAAAATGTAAATAAACTGGTTTAAGTTATAAAATAAATAAATAAAACTTTTTTTAAACATAATAAAATAATAACGCCAAAAAACTTGATTTAAGAGAAGAATAAAAAAAGTTGTTAACTTTTGAAATAAGAGAAGAAAAAAAAGTTATTAACTTTTGAATGAATGAGTGACCTATGCTTGTGTTATGAATAATTTAAAGACCTTGCAATGTTATAACGCAATGTTATAACGCATTTTGTTTTTATAAACTTTAATTAATAAAATTTGTTTGCAAGAGTTTGTTAAGTACGTTTAACTTACGTAATATGGGTTGACCAAAGACTTGTAGAAGCCACAACAAAAATTCGTCCACATACAGATCTTTCCACAGTAAAAATAACAATGCAAATTCTAAACAAAAGTCAATTTTTGAAGCATTTGCTGTTAAACAAACTACAAAATATACAAAACAAGTTCAAGAAGTGGTAGATCAGCAGTTGATTCCTAAAATAAGAACAAACGAAAGCGAAATTATTATCGGGCGTGAATCAAACGAAAGCCCTATCCCTAATATCAACAAACATTTACTAGATGGACGTATGTACATGATGTGTCACCAATCTCAACAAAAATGGGAAACAATATTTCCATTTGCTATTTATTCTGCAAAGGATCAAGGTTGGTTATGTAGTATTTGTAAAGAATATGGGGATATTGGAGAAGTGTGGAGAACTAAAGGCGCGAAGCTTTTCGAACATCCACAAAGGACATTTACTGCACATCAATATTCAAAGAGACACCAGGATGCTGCCGAAAAACGTCAACAGGTCAAAAAAATACTTTCAACCAAAGCAACTGTATACAATCAGATGGTTGATGGCAGTTCGCTATACAGAATTGCGGGTAAACAGCGCAACCGTAACGTCTTAAAAAAGTTTTTTAAAACTGTTTATTTTGTAATTAAAAAGAACTGGGCAGTCCGGGAAAACTTTAGTGATATTGTTGAATTTATTCGAGATCTTGGCGATAAGGAGATAGATTCACACTTTAAAATTGCTAGCAAACTAGCGACATACACATCATCAACTAGTGTTGATCAGTTCATCAAAATAATAAGTGATAAATTAGAAGTGATAAATGGCATTTGCACAAAAATTATTTTGGCCCATGACTTTAGTGTTCTTGCTGATGAGACGAGTGACGTGGCAGATAGGACTGTCTTTTCTGTTTTCATTAGATATGTTGATTCTGATTCTCATACTATTGAAGAAATATTTCTTGGTTTAGTCCAAGTTATTGGAAGAAAGGATGTGCAAACTTTATGTGAACAAATACAACTCGTTTTAAAATCTAAATCGATAGATATCCAGCAACTGCGCTTCTATGGCTTTGATGGAACTAACACAATGAGTGGGGTGCGTAATGGTTTACAAGCTAAGCTAAAAAAAATTTCTCCCCACTCAATGTACATTAACTGTCGTTGTCATTGTTTAGCTCTTGTGTGTACACTTAATGAAAGAATTTGATGTCCTAGTTAACGTTGATGCTAATATCTTGGGAGTTTAAAAAGCCATGAAATATTCTAGCGTAAAGGCCTCAATATTTGATGCAGCGCAAAATGCTGGCGGTTTAAAACCAGCGAAGTTACTTAAAGCTACTCCAACGCGCTGGTTATCTCATGGCGCTTCTTCAGTACGACTCGTTTCAAGATTTGAACAAGTTATAAACAGCCTTGATGCAATTGTTAATGAGAAGTACGGTGCGGAGCTGGAAGGTCTAACATATCAATTACTTGTTCCTGATAATATACTATTTTTGCATTTACTGGCTGATGTTTTAGTACCAATAAATAAATTTGCAAAGTTTTTACAAAGGCAAAACCTAGTCTACTCAAAGATAAACTTAAAATTAGACCTTTTAAAAAATGAGCTTAAAGATATAGCCAGCGGTATAAGTCCATTGTTTAACACTCATTCAAATAAATTTCTCAATATATCTAAAGAGCGTCAAGGAGTAACACGTCGATTAAGAAAAAATAATTTGTTTAACACTATGTCAACACCAGAAAAAATTGATGAGTTTTTGAAGAAAATAAAAGTGCCATTCATGAGGAAATTAAAAGAAGAAATTGATGCAGCAATGCGAATTAATGACGATGTTTTTTTGGCGTTTGATGCATTTAATGCAACTGGTGAAAATCAAGATCCCAACAAATTTTCAGCTAACATTAGTAAACTTTCAAAATTTTATGGCCATGCAAAACCTGCTGTCATCAACGGCGAAAGTATTATTGCACCACCATTGTTTAATCCTATTCAAGATAATGAAGACGATATCCATCATTTTCTCTCTGATTATAGAGAAATCTTATGTAACCTTGAAACGAAAAGGAACCTAAAAATTCAAGTTTTAGTAAAAGAAGGCAAATTAAAGAGTAATAACATTGATAGTTATAAGCACGAACACCCGATAACAAGTGATGCTATTTATATTGTTTTAATAAAGTATTTATATTGATATAATAAAGTTATTTAAATTGTCACTACTCATACCACCTAGCACAGCAAATGTCGAAAGAGGGTTTTCTATACTAAACTTAATACATTCAAAACAAAGAAATCGGCTTAGTATAATAGCACTTGATCACCTTATGCGAATTTCTTTGGTTGGACCAGGAAATTTAACAAACCAAACATATGAAGAGCTGACTGACATTTATCGAGACTCGGGTGAGCGACGAATTGAAATGTCAATCCTTTCTAATAAATTTTAAGTAAATCTTGTTAGTTTATTTATAAGAAATATATTAATATATAAATTTGTAGTTATAAAACTTTTCTCGCGGGAGTAGCAGTAAGGAAATAAATTGGATCTCATTCTTTTATGCGAATAAAAGCCATAAAGAAAAATAAGCGGCGAATGGATGTTGACGCCAAAATTACTAAATATATACAAAAAAAAAAAAAAAAAAAAAAAAGGTCCTCCAAATACAGACAAACTGGTATGCCCAAAAAAACTCTGGATATGTCACTGATATATATATATATATATATATATATATATATATATATATATATATATATATATATATGTTAGGGACACTTTTAATGCTTTAACAAAATATATTTTTAGAGGTGCCTTAAGAGCATTACTAAAAATATTTTTTGTTTAAAAAATTAAGAACAAGGTAATTTTAAAAATTATTGACACACTCACACAAACACACACACACACACACACTTTCACACACACATATCTTTGTTATAGTATATATATATATACATACATATATATATATATATATATATATATATATATATATATATATATATATATATATATATATATATATATATATATATATATACACACATATACACACCTGCAAGCACACATACATTTTATAATTTAAAATTTTTTTTTAGGGATCAGAAGCAAGACTTCATGATCTTTTGGTATGTATTTTTACCTAGTTAATATTATTAAAGTACATCTATAGAGAATGAACTTATGATCCTATATCAGTCTATATTTTCCCATTAATAATTGTTTAAATTTTGAATTATTTAATGCACTAAAAATATTAAAAATCAAGATCTAACTTACATAATATTTTTAACTTAAATGATATTGTTTTTATACTACATGCTTTCATATCATGTTTTTTTATTTAAGGAAGAGAGGCAGAGGAGGAGAACAGACAAGCAAGCAAAAGAAGAGGCAGCCCAAGTAAATGTTTATTCACATAAGTTATTTTCATAAATTAAGCATTTTTTTGTCAGCCAATTATTTATGTTTAAATTAAAATTTATAAAATTAGGAAAGAAGACGAGCTTTAGAAGAAGAAAGACAAGCAAGACTACAAGATATTAAACAAAGAAGAGGAACCCAGGTTTTTTATATTATTTTATATTGTGCATGAATATTTTATTATATTTGTATGATACAAGTGTTCAGTATAAAGTTTAGTTATGACCAAAAAGGTTTGACCATTATTTATATATTCAAAAAATGTTTTCATTTTCTATATTTTCCACATAATTATTTATGAAATTTTTAGATTTAAAAAATGTTTGTGCTTGGGTTTTAAAAAATACTTTTCATGGGAATTTTATTAATTGAAAAACTTTCCTTTATGAGTATAATCTAAAAAATCAATATATTAATATAAATTGTTTTAATTTTCTAAAAAGTATTAAAAATTTTTATACAATACAATTTAAAAATAATAATAATAATAATAATTGTACATTTATCAATATTTTTATGGTACTTTATTTAGCACATAAAAGGTTTAATTATAATGAAAATTCATTATTTGTACTTATTATTTATACTAGGCTGAAAAATGGCTTAAAGAAAGAATTGAAAGAGAAAAACTTCGAGAAGAAATTGCCAAGGAAAAGCAAAAGTAATTAATTTAAAATAAACAAAACTTTAATCTAAATATTAATATCAAGAAATAAGTAAATACATATAACAGGAACTTCAGTAATCAATGAACCAATGTTTAACAATTTTTCAGTGTATTTTTTTGCTATAAGACTTGCTTCTACTGCAATTTTTGTTTACTTATTTATTACACATACACACACACACACACACACACATACACACACATACACACACATACACACACATACACACACACACACACACACACACACACACACACACGTAAAGATACACAAATATTCCTAATATTAGCTTAAATCAATTGTTATTCTAGAAAACAGCTGTTAATTATATTTTGAATTTAATTGTTACATTTGCTATTGATAGTTTTAAAAAAACAGTTAAAACTAAAAAAATAACTTTAAGCATAAAAGTTTATATCTATTAAATAATTTTTGTTTTGAAAACTATACTATAATTTAAATCTTTTTTACTTTAATATTTTCATTAATTATTTATTTAAATATTATTTAATGTTAATGTAAAAGCAATTTTGTAACATTGATTGTTTTTGTAGTATTAGTTGACTGAGTATTTAAGTTTAAGCAGGGTTTAGTCAAGATAAACGTTTCTTTCATACTCTAATAACAAACTTTATTATTATACTATATTTAAGAGAACGAGAAATGAAAGTGGCTGCAAGAAATGAGGCCCTACAACAAGCTTCAGAAGAACTTCAAAAGAGAATAGAACAAAAAGTAAGCAATAAACTTTTATAAAATAAAAATTTAATTTTATTTACTTTTGATTGAATAATATTATAATATTTTTTGATATACTCAATTTGTATTTAGCATATTGAGTCAACCAGAAGACATGAACAAAGAATTGAAGACATCAAAGAAAGAGTAAAAGCTTTTCTTCTAAATTTTGCATTTAATTTAATTGCTATAGTTAACAGTAATATATTTTTTTAATATATTATATTAAATATATATTCTATTAAATATATGTGTGTGTGTAGGCTTTAAATAATTTCATTGAAATTAACCATTGTTTAATAAATTATATATTAAGTGTTTTGAAATTGAAGTAAGAGATTAGTAAGTGAGAAAATGTGATAAAATATTGAAAAGAAACTTTCTGGGAAAAAAATTTAGCTTGAAATAGTTTAAAAGTATTTTTTTTTTAAATTATAACAAACATAGTTTTATTATTACTTTGATATAATAAGAAATGATTTACAGGCTGCAAGCTCATCGCGTCATGGTATAATGGAAGATTCACCAAGTGCTATCCCTTACAGTAAATTAAAAATATGTACATTATGTAATGTAGAGGTAAGATGGTTGTTTTTATTGTAAGACAATTTTTTTTCATTATACTCACTTTTTGTGAGTATAAATAAAAAAATATTAAAAAAAAATTAAAAAATATGTCTATATACTTATAATTAAAAATGTTAACATCTTTTACGATCCTCTTTCAATTTTTTTAAAAGTTTAATTTAATACCTAAGTTGTTTTGTGTTGGCTACTTATAAGAATAAAACAGGTTATTAGAATATTTATTATAGCTTGCAATTTGTTTTGTAATAATAGATTGCTTCTGATGTCTACATGGTGAGTCATTTAAAAGGTAAAGTGCACAAAACTGCTGTTAAAGAATTAAACAAAAAAATAACTGATGCTGAAATGGTATTTATTAATTTTATTGTTGATTTTTTCTGTTAATAGCAGAGAAAATACTTAGTTTGAAAAAAGGTAGAAAGAGGTTTGGGAGAGCATCCTTTTGATAGACATGTAGAAAAAGTTTTGGAATAACAATTTAATAGTAGAAAAATATAAATCATTCATTTTTTCAGGAAGCATTTTCTTCAAAGTATATTAAAGAAGCTGAAATTAATTATTCACAACGACAAAAAGAAAATAATGATCATATCAAATCAATGAAAAAAAGAGCAAAAAAAATTAAGTCACGTATGAATGCCAAGTTAGTTTTTGATATAATTTGTTCATTTTTAAATGTTAATTTCAATGTTTAGTTTTGCATACTATATATACTTTAGTTTATACATAACATAATTGAACATATAACTGTTTAATACTTTTATATTATTTTATTAATATTAATTAATGTTTTATAACTGAATATACACACAAACACTCACACATACATAAAAATACACACAAAATATTACTTTTCACACCTTTTATATACACTCTACACTCTAATTAATAGGGCGTAAGTTTCTACCCTAAGTAGGATATGAGATATACCCTAAGTAAGATATAAATTTTTTGATTTAATCCAATATTTCAAAATGGTTTTACAATAAATTTTAAATAACTTTTATGTGAACTCGTGATTAAAAATCACAAAAACTTGTGATTTTTAATCACAAGTTTTTGTGATTTTTAATCACGAGTTTTTGTGATTTTTAATCACGAGTTTTTGTGATTTTTAATCACAAGTTTTTGTGATTTTTAATCACGAGTTTTTGTGATTTTTAATCACAAGTTTTTGTGATTTTTAATCACGAGTTTTTGTGATTTTTAATCACAAGTTTTTGTGATTTTTAATCACAAGTTTTTGTGATTTTTAATCACGAGTTTTTGTGATTTTTAATCACAAGTTTTTGTGATTTTTAATCACGAGTTTTTGTGATTTTTAATCACGAGTTTTTGTGATTTTTAATCACAAGTTTTTGTGATTTTTAATCACGAGTTTTTGTGATTTTTAATCACAAGTTTTTGTGATTTTTAATCACGAGTTTTTGTGATTTTTAATCACAAGTTTTTGTGATTTTTAATCACAAGTTTTTGTGATTTTTAATCACGAGTTTTTGTGATTTTTAATCACAAGTTTTTGTGATTTTTAATCACGAGTTTTTGTGATTTTTAATCACAAGTTTTTGTGATTTTTAATCACGAGTTTTTGTAATTTTTAATCACAAGTTTTTGTGATTTTTAATCACAAGTTTTTGTGATTTTTAATCACGAGTTTTTGTGATTTTTAATCACGAGTTTTTGTGATTTTTAATCACGAGTTTTTGTGATTTTTAATCACGAGTTTTTGTGATTCTTAATCACAAGTTTTTGTGATTTTTAATCACAAGTTTTTGTGATTTTTAATCACAATTTTTTGTGATTTTTAATCACAAGTTTTTGTGATTTTTAATCACGAGTTTTTGTGATTCTTAATCACAAGTTTTTGTGATTTTTAATCACGAGTTTTTGTGATTTTTAATCACAAGTTTTTGTGATTTTTAATCACAAGTTTTTGTGATTTTTAAACACCTTTTTTAGGGCTTGTAAGTCATTAAAATTGTTTTTTATATTCATTGAGAATAAGCATGGTGAATTTTCTGATTTTATAAAATATTCTTCTTAAAAAATATTCTTTTAAAATATTCCTCTTAAAAACCGCAACGAACCAAATTAGATTAATTTGGATAGAAAAGTTTTCTAATTTCTAATTTTCAGAATAGTTTTTTCTATAAGAAGGTTTTCTAATTTAGTCTAATAGAAAATAACAATAGGTAAAATCTTTTATAAACTTAAAAAAATTCAAAAATATGCATCAAAGGACTAGACTGAGCTGTCAAGCCCAAATGAAATAAATAAAATTGGAAAGAGAGAAAGGTAATCGCGTATGTAATAGAATTGATAAACTCAGGCTCCTAAAGGAAAATAAAATGAAAAAAGTTATTTTCTCAATAGATAATAATTCAACCAATAGGAACAAAAATAGTAATAGTTATAAAATAAAAAAATGAAAAAAAAAAAAATAGTCTGATTGCTCCCCTCTGATTGCTCCCCAGACTGATAGTTTTTGTTATAATTGTTTAATACTTTTTATGTTTTATTATTTCACAATATTATTATTGTTAATAACTTGTACCCAGACGCAAGATCTAAAAAAAATAGAATACAAAGTACAAAATTTAACATAATATAATCACTCATTGCCAGAATCAAACCGCAAACATTTATCAGGCTGATGCTCTAAAGAAAACAATGTGCAAAAAAACATAAACATACATATATATATATATATATATATATATATATATATATATATATATATATATATATATATATATATATATATATATATATATATATATATATATGTATAAATATATATATATATATATAAATATATATATATATATATATAATATATATATATATATATATATATATATATATATATATATATATATATATATATATATATATATATATATACATATATATGTATATGTATGTATGCATATATGCATATACACTGCCGACCTTGTTTCTGTATTTTATGGTAAGACCTTTGTATCTAAATGTAATAAATTGTAATAAATTGAAGTCATCAAATTATTGCCGACTTCATTTATCCTAATTCCTAGGGTTGATATATTTATATATACAAACACACATATACATACACACATCTGCATATATATATATATATATATATATATATATATATATATATATATATATATATATATATAACTACTTACGCCCACTTATACAGGTTCGAAATAACAAACTTTTTTCTACTGGACAATTTGTCCAGTAAAGACTCAAGTTGCCAGACATGTCAGATAAAAATTAAAGAAGTGCGATCGAACACCATTCCGGAACATGCTTAAAATATTTTGTTTTTTAATTTTTCTGCGCAATTTGATTTGACAAATTGCGTTTCAAAATGCCCTGAAAATAACAAGGAAATTTTTAAGATAAATTATCTAAGTAAAAAGAAAATCTTAAAGAAAAGGAAAAAACCTAAGCTCAAAAAACTAAATTTTGAAAAGGAAAATATATTTGTATTATGTTCTTTTTTAATCACTATATTATGTGAAATACTTTGTTAATTATTAAATGCACAAATTATTATGTAAATATATTATATACATAAATTATGTAATTATTAAATACATAACTATGTAATAAAAATGTACAATAAAAATACAAAATTATTAAATACATAAATTAGTATGTAAATTTATTAAATACATAAATTATTAAGTTTGCTTATTACTTTATTAAATAAAGTAACTAATTAGTTATGTTTACAAAAAACCCAATACAATAATACTTTATAAAATAAAGTGACAAATTAATTACAATGTTTACAATAAACACATGTTATTTAAATTATCAAAGTATACTATATGCAATTACATTTATATAAATATTTTTTTTTTATATAAATCTTTTCAAGCTTTTTATTTTTATAAACACTTTTAATAGCGAATTTTTTTAGTGCGCAAACCAATGTTACATAACAACTCAAATTTAATACCATGAGAAAAAGCAATCAACGTTAAAATTTTTATAAATAAATTAAATAAATATTATAAATATATTAATTTAATAAATATTAAAGGGGTTTTAAAAGCTAAAATATTTGTTTAAAATTTACAAAAAAATATTTGTAAAATCCATCGAACAAAAAAATAAACTTAACTATAAATTTAAATTAATAACTAATTGCAACGTTTTAATGATGAAAAACTGGACTACTTAAAAAAAATGTAATGCTTTGCCATCTTGTAATAAATGAATGAACTCAAAAAAATGATCTTATTTATTAAAGTAGCCATGTGTTCAACTTCGAAAATTTTAGGTTAAGTTTACTCTGGTTTTTTTAGCACATTTTTTAAATGCATTAATTATCAAAACTTAAAAGGAGCCACGGCTAAGTTGTCAAAACAAAGTATTATATGCATAGTCATATAAGGCGTACAACCCCATGTCATTTACGAGAAGGCCTGACAAAGCAGAAATTATTACCAAATGTGCATTTGATTTGATTTAAATTTAAAATATAAACCAAATAGTTTGTAAAATGTAATGGTTTATTAAAGTGAAATTTTTTTATTTTTTTTTAAATTTTTGTTTTGTTTTTTTTAATTTCAAAAAAACTGAAATTAAAAAAAGCAACTTACAAAGTTACAATTTTGCAATAAAACAGTTCAAATAAGGCAGTTAGTTACTGATTGCATATACATTTTTTTTTTTTTATTTGCATTCACTCCCAACAAGGCTGCAAGCCTTTTAACCACTATTAAGTTGGGAGTTACTAGGAAAAAAAAAGAACAGAGTTATAGAGCAAGGAAACGGTTGACAGAAGACTTAAAAAGTTGAAGGTTGTATGAGTCAGGAAAACATAAAGACGGGAGAGAGTTCCAAAGGATTGAAGTGCAGGGAAAAAAACTAGATGAATAAAAGTTTTTAGAGCATGCAGGGACAGATACAGAAAACGAATGAGACTTAGCTGAATGACGAGTAAAACGAGAATGAATTTTAGTTAATGGAACTAGAGATGATAACTCCTTTAAGCAGTGACCATGATAGTATCTGTAGAAAAAGAGAAAGAGATGCAACTTTACGACGATGGGAAAGAGGTTCAAGCTTAGCAGATAGTCCAGGTCCAACAACATTTACAATGCGTTTTTGGACCTTGTCAAGAAGAGAGAGTGAATTGTTAGAAGAACCAGCCCAAATATGACAACAGTATTCCATACAGGGACGAATAAGAGATTTGTAGAGATAGAGAATGGAATCAGAAGTAAGGAAATGGCGAGCACGATAAAGAGAAGCAACCTTAGCAGAAGCTAATTTAGCAATCGATTGTATATATGGTTTTCATGAAAGGTCAGTAGTAAGCGATAATCCAAGAAGACGTAAAGAGGACGACTCAGTAAGAGGATTGCCATTCATTAATATAGGAATGTTGACCATATTACGGTAGTTGTTTGCAGTAAGCAATTGGGTTTTTTTAGAGTTGAAATTCACAAGCTACTGTGAACCCCAATCTATTACTGAAGTGAGATCAGATTCAAGATCAGCTGCTTGTTCTAGGCGATCGAAAAAAGAAGACTTTTTGTCAAGACAGGAGTATAAAGTTGAGTCATCAGCAAAAAGAGCTACTTTAGATGAAAGGTTGTCAGGAAGATCGTTTATGTAGATAAGAAACAAAACAGG